GGGGTGTGTCTAAGGACACAAGATCATCGGATTCGTCGAGTATAGCCCTCGTCCCGAAAGTAAGGGAAATTGACGTCGCTGTCAATTGGTCAATTTGGGATAAAGGCTGCCTATCCGTTTGGAAAATCTTAATTACCAAAAAACCCAGGTTTTAACGGTTCCTCAGACTAACTGCACTTGTGCCGTATAAGTGCCTCAACATCTGGTACTCATTGTCCGAAGGAACCGTTGGAATGTTTTACTGTCAGGTGCCTCTATGGGTATTTCTTTTAATGAGGGTCATACTATCGCTCCATACCTTTTGTTACGTCGCGTAACACTCTACCTGGCCCAGGCCACACACCGCGGGCAAGATGGCAACCAGATGTCTTCGGGTACTCACTGCGTACCCTCAATAGTCTTAAGTACCTTCCATAAATCTTATAGATTTCCTAATAGAGGTCCTTCAAACCAAACAAACGTCCGTTTCCGAAGAATTTCTAAAGACTATTGTCTACTACAGCTTGACAAGGAAAAGTACGGCTTGACAAGGGAAGTTTTTCTCACGTATGATGCAACTTTCCTCCCACTAACCACTTTCTCTCGAGGGCGGTTAAGACCCTTCGTTTAACCAATTAACGACGAAGCCTATTTCCCTCACTCTCTTAACTAAAATCGTTACCAACAATTCCGATGGCCCCGTGCGCTAGACACACCCATCCTTAGCTTTCCTCCGCCACAGCATCGTCTCTGAATATCACTGATTTTACATCCTTCGAACGAATTGCTGATTGAGTTGTCGAGAAGTTACCCGAATCGAATAGTACGTTGATACTTCTCCTCCCATGGATCGTGGATTCGTTATCGAACCTGAATTCGTTGTCACCATCATCTCGAACATCCTATTGCTATTACTCATAGCCTCTTGTAGTGTCCACATTCGTACTGATAAATATTAGCTACATTCGCGACGGTAAAGTAAGTAAAGGTTCATAGAACGCCCCAAAATGCCAACCTGACTCCGACATATATATAACTACATCTATAAAATGTTTTTGATGAAGAGTTTACGAATGAAAATATTAATACCTCTGCTATTATCGATAACATACATTTTTATAAAATAACATTTTCGATTAATACGATAATCTGATAATAACATTTCATTATAAATTCTATTACGTTACGTCACAATATCTAGCTAACCGATGATGTAAAGCCAACTACCGAATATTCTTTCAATAATAACTGCGCTGGAAAATTGGTAAAAGACCGATGCTATAAATCCCGTTGGAGCGTCGACATTACAATTCAAGATTACGACTCAGGTATTAATTGAATTTCACACAATGCTTTATCTGAGAACGAACGATATTTTTTCCTTCTTTTCCATTACAAACGAAATTAGCAATAAATTATACTTGCTGGTCTGATCGCATTAGGTTAATTTTAAACATTATTTTTAAATACGTCGCATTTATTAAAGTTTCTAAATAGTTTTTTTCTATTCAGTGTTATTAATAATTTTCTGTGTTAATATTCTAAAAGTTTTGGTTTACAAAAAACTCACGTGGTTAATTTATGGAAGTACAAATTTACTGGTATTCAGAACAAAAATTATCTTATTTATACTGAATTTTCTGAACTTTACAAGGAAAAAATGTTAAATACTTTATACAGGTCTGAAACGTGTGATATCGTCACTGAACAATGTTTACCCACGTACGGAATTTATTAGTGGCACGAGAAGCCCTGTAACATTCTATTATTCTGCTACGTGTTGTGATAAGACAGTTAAAATTACAGCAATAGATTTATTAGATAATTACAGCACTATAACTATAGATGTCACAGGTAATTATTGCATCATTGCTGTTACATTTACTGATATAACTTCTTATTTCATAAATAAATATGAACTTTGAACAAAATATGCAACACTCTATGGCACCCATATCAGAAACATATTTCTGAATTTGTATTACTTTCTAAGAAACATGATAATATAGCTATGGAGAAATGAAGAATTTGTATCTTTCATAATAAAACAAATACGATCAATCTTTTCAGCATGGAACAACTTATCAGAAGCTGAGATTGCAGCTATTACAGTAGGAGCATTGATAGCTTTGTTATTCATTATTGCGATCACTGTCTTAATTATATATTGCATTCGAAAAAGGAAAAGTCACGACTTGCCTTATACACAACGATATGGATCAAGACCACCTACGCAGTCAGAAAGGACTACTTTCTAATTCTTTATCAGTACTAAAATGTATAACGCAGTATGATGTAGCTTATATTCATCCTTGCTATTATATAGGTTAATATTACAAACTAACATTAGATTTAAAATACATTTCTGTTAATTATATCTACAATAATGTACATAAGTTGTTGTTAATAAATGTTGATATTACCTTATTTCTATATACAGACACAATGATTTTATTTAATATTTGAAGAACAATCAAATTCAATTTAAATTTATATCATTATAATTTCAATGGTAAAAGTATAAATTGCAACTTAATGTAATTGTAAATTAAACAAATTTCAACAAAAGGAACAGTGGAAAACTTAATGTACAAAATCTATTACAAACTTTACGTTATAATAGAATTGTATTGTATTGCACGATTAATGGAAAAGAAAGGTAAGCTGGTTTACTTTACAATTACATACAAATACATACAAGGTCAAAACTGATATAAATTTCAAAATCATTAGAATTCAATAAACAGTTATACTTATTGTGCAACATACGTACAAGCATTGAGTACAATAAATAAAGTATCTAGGTTGGAAAACAATTTCTAATCTAGTAAGAAATAAACTGACATTCAGCTTGTAACAAACATTATGCATGCACAGATGTTTGCCGAGATGCGAATGATACCTGCAACTGTGTGAAAATAAATGAAACAAAAGAATAAGAAAACGTACATAATGATGATTAGTTTTGTGATAAATGTCATTCATACATTTTATTACATGTCAAGATTAGGAAAATATGAATCTGTGAGAGCCCCACCCAGGTGTTTCATTAACAGACTCACCATCGCGGAGTACCGCAGGTGTAGCAGGCGTAACTGGCATCAAAAATGCATTTTCGGTGTAATTTTCAAACGGAAAGCCTTCACCAGCAGCTGATAATAATGGATTTTTCACTTTACGTGATTTACTACTCATGTTTGCAGTGACGTTGGCACCACGTAACTCGAAACACTGCCATCAAAAGATTACTAAACTACGAATTGCAAAACACTGTTAGTCCACCATAGACTATAAACATTTAACCTATATCGCCACGTTTATGTATAGTCTAAATACATATGTGTATACATGTGTATAGTAGAGGCAGCATATGAGCTAAAGATCTGTGTTCTAAAGGCTCAAACGTGACTCAGAGAGATGTCCTCCATGTTACTACTGCTCTCTACTGAAACGTACATGCGCAATGCGCATGCGTTATTTCCCACAATAGCTATCTTCAGAGTGATTTTCACGAAAACCAGAATTGTGCATTATTTAAATAATATTTTGAATAAATTTTCTGAATAGAAGTTACAAATAGAAAGAACGAGATTATTCGAGAATTGTTTTAATCAGAAACGTATTGCGTACATTTATTGATTGTTTAATCTTTATCACAACTTCCTTATTCAATAAAAAGATATTACACCTAAAAATATTTTAATGTATCATCGTGAAATAATTTGCATTACAACAGAATATATTGTAAACCTATGTGTGAAATTGAAATCATATGTCATGCATAGTTAAGTACATAAATATTTATTCTCGCTTATATACAGTTACAAATGTGGAATTCTAGATACATACGTGAATATTTGAAATCGAAAGATCGTAACATTCTAATAATTTCATTTTAAATTTATTAAACTTAATTATTAACTTATTTCTACAGTATTATATAAATAAAACTCAACAAAAGTTATAATGCAAATATATTATGAAATGCTGCATGTGTATATATGTATATTGTATATCAAATATCATAAGAATTCATTGCAAACAACAAAAAGATATTAAATTTTCTAAAAATAGGTATTTAATAATAAAAATGATAAGAATATACCATGAGTATGTTTTTAAAACAATTATCGTACAGTTAAATACAATTTCAAATATTCGTCTACAATTCGTCGATTTCATTTATAAGACATAAAAGATGTGATTTTTCACTGAAACAATGATTTATTTTTTGTTTTACTATTTGGTCAGTAAGTTTGAGATAAACTTTAAATACATACGTGTACTATTTATTAGATCAAATTTCGTTATACTGTTTCTTTTTCTTTTCTTTCTTTTCACTTTTCATCTTTCAAGTAGATGAGACTTTACAAGACTCTATATAAAACGGTTTCCGTTAAATAAGGCAGATCCAATAATGATTGATACTTTTAATAAATTAAAAATTTAGTTTATTCGTCAATATTAATATTTCAATAAAATTTTAACTTGAGTTCCATTAAAATTCGTTAGTGTTATACTTTCTTAGGTCAATATTTTGTGATGTGTTTCTACAACGATTTTCGTATCGAATTCATTAACTTTTCAATTTAGAAAGTTCAGATTATGATCCAATTTCGAAAGATTAAAATACATCTAAAATATCTTGTGCGAATTTTTATTAAGTTGTACAAATTTTTTACGAAGCGTATTTCAATGTTTTACCAAAAAAGTTGAAAACAGTCGAAAACCAATGATCCTACGGCACTATTATAAATGAACACACTGAATAGAACTATTAAGTAGCTTACATTAAAGGACGAATGAAATTCGGCATTTATTAGTGTCTATGAATTCTAATACTCCTAATTCTTAATATCATGGATTTTAAAAAATAAGTAGCAAATTCCAAAAAGGTTAAAATAATTAATCGAAATAATTACCTATTCGTACTTTCCCTTATTTTCTCATAATGCTGAATATAAATAAAGATTTGTGTCATGAAAACGAAGGACTTGAGAAATAAATAAAATGTGGAGAAATAAATTCAGAAATATTTATTACAGTTCAACTATATTGAATACAGTTTGAATACGTTATTTTTGTCAGACACACTAAGAATTTCAATGACATTGAACAACTCCTTTTAATCATAAGATTGGTTAGTCTTCGTATCTTGGAAAGATGGGCTCATCAAAAGGGGAATGAGGACGTTGTGGGGGATGATGCGGGCGGTGTGGTGGACCGGGTGGGTGGTGCGGTGGAACGGGACGGTGGTGCGGTGGAACGGGACGGTGGTGTGGTGGACTGGGTGGGTGGTGCGGTGGAACGGGACGGTGGTGCGGTGGAACGGGACGGTGGTGTGGTGGACTGGGTGGGTGGTGCGGTGGAACGGGACGGTGGTGCGGTGGAACGGGACGGTGGTGTGGTGGACTGGGTGGGTGGTGCGGTGGAACGGGACGGTGGTGCGGTGGAACGGGACGGTGGTGTGGTGGACTGGGTGGGTGGTGCGGTGGAACGGGACGGTGGTGCGGTGGAACGGGACGGTGGTGTGGTGGACTGGGTGGGTGGTGCGGTGGAACGGGACGGTGGTGCGGTGGAACGGGACGGTGGTGTGGTGGACTGGGTGGGTGGTGCGGTGGAACGGGACGGTGGTGCGGTGGAACGGGACGGTGGTGTGGTGGACTGGGTGGGTGGTGCGGTGGAACGGGACGGTGGTGCGGTGGAACGGGACGGTGGTGTGGTGGACTGGGTGGGTGGTGCGGTGGAACGGGACGGTGGTGCGGTGGAACGGGACGGTGGTGTGGTGGACTGGGTGGGTGGTGCGGTGGAACGGGACGGTGGTGCGGTGGAACGGGACGGTGGTGTGGTGGACTGGGTGGGTGGTGCGGTGGAACGGGACGGTGGTGCGGTGGAACGGGACGGTGGTGTGGTGGACTGGGTGGGTGGTGCGGTGGAACGGGACGGTGGTGCGGTGGAACGGGACGGTGGTGTGGTGGACTGGGTGGGTGGTGCGGTGGAACGGGACGGTGGTGGGTGGTGTGGAGGAAGGGGTCGGTCGTGTGGTTTATTGCCTGGGCGGTGTGGAGGAAAATCCGGATTTGGTCGACGAGATGGCCTTGGACTGACAGATGGAGTTGGTCTTGGAGGATGAGATGGTCTAGTAGGGTGAGGTGGTCTTGGAGGACGGGATGGTTCAGTAGAATCAGTTGGTCTTGAAGGATGGGATGGTTTAGTAGGATGAGGTGGTCTTGGAGGATGGGATGGTCTAGTAGGGTGAGGTGGTTTTGGAGGACGGGATGGTTCAGTAGTTGGTCTTGAAGGGTGGGTTTGTTTAGTAGGGTGAGTTGGTCGGAATGGTTCATCAGTAGAAAGAGATCGTTGTGACGGACTGTATTCGCCAGATCCAGTTGGTCGTGAAGGACGAGATGTCACCGTAGAACGGGCTGTCGAAGAATGTGGTGGTCTTGAATGGTGATGTTTACATTCTGCATGCTCACTGGGCCAATCGCATACTCTTAAATCCGAATTATATTCCAGTCCTTCACTACATTTCATTATCTGCAGTCTGCCTGCACTGCAGGAATAGTAGGTCGAGCAGTCATCTGGATTCGGAAACAAGACAATATCCTCTCCGTCCTTAGTTGGACATTGAGGTGGGGTGGCGAAAGCAAACGTCACCAAAAGTGTGGCAAATATTGCCACAAACGTTGCTAAAATGATTATCAGACGATTTTAATTAGTATCGTATCTAGTAATTTAATAATTAAGATCAAGTTAAAAATATCGGCAAAAGCTTTATATAAAGTGAAAAATGTTATGACAAGATGAAAATTCTGTTTCTGTATATACATATCTGTGTATATGCATTTTCTTGTTTATACAAGAATATTATATTATTATATTATTGTAATAAAGAAGAAGATCTTATAAATGAGAATTAAATAATGTCGAACGTGTAAATAACAAAAATATTTTCACTAAAATTGATATATTCCATTCCACTTCTTCCGTTCAATCTTAACGTGAACAATTTTATTAGAGATTATTACAACTATCTTACCTTTCATTTTTGCTTCTGAAAGCGCACAATTTCGTCTTGTATTGTATTCCTTCTTACTCTTGTTATGGCGATCAGATTTGTCTTCCTCTTTATATATTCTACATAAGTATTTTTAATAGATTATCAGCAAGCAAATACTTGTTTATCAATCATAATTATCATCATATCGTGATAAGTCTAACGAAGAAAAAATTAGCTACTACATGAGTCGTTGGGACGTAGCGTTATTAAGCGTCAATATTGTCTGCTAATCATATCGGTTTCCTTCTCAGAGAAAGTTTGAAATAGTGACTTCAGAAATTATTTAGAATCATTTCTAATTGAATTAATATCTAATTCTAATTATAACATTAATATACCAGTTTGTATATTAAAGCATAAAATACTTTATGTATTCAAAAAATATAAAAGTTAATCAATTAATTAATTAAATATAATGACAATTTGTTCTTCATTGAAAGTAATTTTCAACGCTTGAAGAAACTTTGTTTTTTAAAGGAATTTAATAAAATTAATAATGTTTTTAAGAGAAACAAAGATCTTAAAATATTACTTTAAACTGAAATTATATTTTCATTTGAAGATATTTTCAAGCAGAGAATGTTCCTCATAATTCTTCTTATATAACTACTTTTATTACCTTTAGATGATAAAAATTAAGAATTATTCTACATTAATTCATCAGACACAAATAAAATAACAATAAACTATTATAAAGAATAAATAGAACATAAAACTGTAACCGAATAAAAAAAAGGTACAAGATTTTTAAATACATTGGTAAAACTTATCAAACGATTTTTTCGCATCACTTTTATTATAAATTATAATTGTTGACAGAGAATAGAAAAAGTCCAGAAAATAGTATGGAAATCAACCTTGTATGGAAATTAATATTGAAATATATTTATTTACGTTTTTCGTTTGAGGCCTCGTTTTTTAGAAAATAAGCTTCTGAGTTGAGAATTAACTCGGATACAAATTTTCTAATTTAGTTTTCTCGAAAACGAAACAACAGGTGAAAAAATTGTATTCCATATTTCCAACTTAGTTTCGCATGTAGAATAATTGCGCGCTCTTTTTCAATCGAGAATTAATCAAATACATACGTACTTGATAAATTTTCAAATTCGATCTTCATAAGAATGAAGACTACCTCAGAAATGAAAATTACGTTCTTCAACGTAACTTTTGTCATTCTTGATTTTTGTTCTATTTCAAGGTATAAAATCTCCCTGACATCACTTATACCACGAATTTAGACCTATTTAGACGGTGTTCAGATACTTTAGAGTAGACTAATATGTACAGATCTCTATTTTTTCACTTCTAAACTCATTGCATTAAGTGATAGAATTTGAATGAAAATTTGAAAAAGAAACAGAAAGTTGAATGCATTTAAAAAGTTCTTAAACTAAAGATGCTAAAGGGTTTAATGCATACAAGAGAGTTAAATTCGCATTACAGTTGTAAATAAAAGCAATTACTTTCTTTTGTGCCAAATAATGTTTATTTTAGTATATATACTAGTATACTATATATAATAGAAGTATTGTGCATGTGATTACAAAAGTGCGTGTGAACAAAAGTTAAAAATATAGACGATATATTTATCTTTCCTTATCGAAAATTATATAGAAAAATTAAAAATCTTTCGATTTATAAAGTTTTTTGTATCACGTAGATTGATAGCCGATTACCTTTATCGATCATTCATTGGGAAATCCATAATGGATAGTGTAATTTTATTTTTTGTTAATCTGAAAAGAAGTGATTCAAAAGATTGTATATGTACAACGTAAGAATATTATTGATAAGAAATAGCTTTGTAAATATAATGGTATATTATGCAATATAATATAGATCAATAAATACAATATATAAAAATATAACACATAAGCAATAAATTTATAGAAAATATTTGTTCAGATACATGAATATAATTAATATAACATGATTGTACATTAAGTACATACGAGAGCAGATTGAAAAATGTCCGGAATCGTCGTTGGGAGTTGGTTTATTTGTTATTGACATTCCGGAAATTTTTCAGCCTGCTCTTGTATTAATCTATGATTATACTATTGACTAATTCGTCGGTGATTGTACATATTTTTATTTTATGTTGAATCGATAATGTCGGAAACAATATCAAGATGATACAGTTCACAAATAATTAACACGTGAAACAAAAAATATATTAGATAGGACATCCGTTGGATATATTATTTTTATATGTTATACTTTGTCTTTGGTAATATATTAATTTATATCAACAAAGAAAAAATCTGTTATAACAGTAGGTTTCGGAAATATACATATATATTATTTTGAAAAAAATTGTACAACAAAAGTATTCAATTTAATGCCAGGATCAGAATTATGTATTTGATATGAATGATTCCCATTGAAAGCTTTGGATATGAAGTTTTGATAGAATACTTTAAAGAAATCAGTTTCTTGCAAAGAAAAAGATGGCTTTATCTTGAATAAAGCACAAACACGTGCAAAAATTTCTCTATTTTATCATCTCAAATCATTGTTACGTGGCCTTTTCAAGATTTGGGGCAATTTGGCCAGACTGCAGCTTTTGGAGTGTTGAAACACTTTGCTCGTGTTACAACTTTAAACAATTCAAAAAATTAACTCTACATTTAAATGAAGAAATACACAACGAGAAAAATTAACTTGAATAAGATTTATGTTTAAAATTGAATTATAATATATTGAATTTGACAAACAATTTGACTTTAACAAAGATTTGCGCTTTAATGAAATTTTCTTAAACTCTGACCTCAACGTGACTTTTACGACTCAACGATTCTACGATTTAATGATTCTAACGATTCTCTCACTTTTTAGGTCATAGAATAGCCCATTTATCTACTCGGATTTTACATGACGATCTATGATTGTCTGTTATCCAATAATACAATTTCTTATTAACCAATGCTAATAAACATTAATTTGATTGAAGTTGTAATATTAAAGAGCAAGCGATTTGTGCATTGACAATGTTCTTTCCCATGGTAACGAAAGTAAATACGAATAAAAGTGATCATAGTTATTACTGATAAATAATTTTGAAACTTAATCAATAAATTTGTTAAGCAACTTTTGTTCGTTGCCTCGGTTACGCTGTTGTAAAATTAAATTCGCCGCTCTAGATTTTATCGTATTATCTTACAAGATATTCACGCTAGAGAGAGCTACAAGCCTATACCACACACAACACACTATACACAACAGTATAAACTATTTTCTAGTGTTTAATTTTACTACATAGGGATTTATATCCTTTTAATATGGTATCACATAACACACAATTGCACATAGACCCCAACAAATACGTTGTAGTAAAGTGTTTACAAACTCTAGTTCAAATTAGTAAAAATGGGAGTAAAAGATCTTTGGAATATTTTGTCGCCTTTGAGCGAGAGGAAACCAATGTTTGAGCTTCAAGGAAAAACGGTAGCCATTGACATGAGTTGTTGGATTGTGGATAGTCAAACAGTAACTGATCATTCTGCACAACCAAAAATGTATCTTAGGTTTGTGAGTTTGCATTGGTTATATTTATTATTCTTTCAGATTTAAAGTTAAATACGATTGAATAATTATTACAGGAATCTCTATTTTCGTACAGCATTTCTCCTCATGCAAGGGATATCTCCAGTATTTGTTTTGGAAGGGAAAGCACCTACTTTGAAACATAAGACAATTGCAAAGAGAAATGACGTTCGTTCTGGTTTTCGCGAAAAAAAAACTGCTTCTAAAGGAGGTAGAACACAGTTTAATAGAATTCTCAATGAATGCAAGGAAATGCTTCAACTTATGGGTTTGGCGTGTGTGCAAGGACATGGGGAAGCAGAAGCAATGTGTGCTTATTTAAACGAAGACGGGGTAAAATATTTGTACACATGAAAAGATGTGAATCACAGTTACCTATTGCTTTAATAATTATTTTTACAGCTTGTTGATGGATGCATAAGTCAAGACAGTGATTGCTTTTTATATGGAGCAAAAGTAGTTTACAGAAATTTTTGTACAAGTACTCAAGGAAATCGCGGGAGTTCAGGTGGTGCTGTAGACGAATATAAATTAGAAAAGATAGAAAGGTTATTAGAATTAGGGAGAAATAAAATGATAGCATTAGCTTTATTATGTGGTTGTGATTATAATGATGGACTGAATGGAGTTGGTAAAGAAGCTGCTATGAAACTTTTTAAAATTGTAAATGATAAAGATATTCTTCAACGGTAAAGTATAAATTAAAGTATTAAAGTATTAAGTTTAAAATGTATTTTTTATCTAACAAAAATATTATGTACAAATACTATTAACTTTTTAGAATGAAGAGTTGGAGGACCGATACTACTTTAGATTATAAAGAAGCAGAATTACTGAATCCAAATTTGTGTTCATCTTGTGGACATAGTGGTAAACTACAAAAGCATACAAAATCAGGTTGTATAGAATGTGGGACCACTGTGAAATGCCATAACTCTTATAAGTACGTTTGTTATATAATTGTTATGCAACATATTTTATTTAGCATATTTATATTGTATTTTTTACGATATACTTTTGTAGAGAGAAAAGAGCTTTATTATTGAATGAAATTGCTTTACGAAAAAAAGCTCTTCTTATTGAAGATTTTCCAAATCAAGAATTAATAGATGAATTTCTTATTAAAAAAGCTTCAGTACCTGCAAAAATAGATATTCAGTGGAAACAACCGCAAGTGAATGAATTCATAGTAAGTTTTAACGTAAAACTTTGTAAGTTTACTTTATTTATTCTTACTATAACTCGATTTATGTTAGGATTTCATGGAACGATATTTGTCTTGGGAACCACAATATGCATTTGAGAAGATATTTCCTCTAGTGACTCGTTGGCAACTTGTACACCTTCCAGGTATTTCTGCAGACAACCGTCTAACAATGCTCGATTTATACATACCTGAAGCAATAAAGAAAGTTCGGAATATTAGGTCTGTTGCGAGTTACGAAATTATTTGGAAGACTGATCATAGTACGATAAAAAGATTAAAAGAATATATTGAATTAGATAATGTGAGTGATAATGGTGCAGATATTCCATCTGAATTGGCAAGCATTGAGCCACAAAGTGCTGTACAGAAATGTTATCCAGAATTAGTTGAAGCATTTGAAAATGCAAGAAATGCGAAAACAAAGAAACGACCGAATAAAAAGAAAATACAAAACGATACAGATGCTAATGATAAACGTAAAGCAGAAAAGAGGCGTCAGAAGAGAAATGCAAAAACAGAAAGTAATAGAAAAATTGATGAATTTATTTCCAAAAATGATCCTACGTCTTTAGAAGAATCTTTCCGAAGGATGAGTATTACGCCAATAAAATCTAAAAAATGTAAAACATTAGATGGTTTACAAGAAAGTCCGAAAAGAAGTGATAAAGTTAAACGCGGTCCTCAGTTCGAAAAAGTATTACAATTGGAGAATATCAATTCAAACTTAAATAATACATTGGATAGAATGTTTAATGAACTTTCACCGGATGATTTTATTGACGAGAACGATGATCATGATGTAAACATGTCAGAGATAATAGACAATATATGTAATCAAAGGGTCTTCAAATTTAATGTTTCGGAAAATGTGCAAACACCTAAAGATGAAAATAATTTATGTGAAAAAGACACTGAAGATGTGAAAACAGTCGATGACGTAGTTAATTTTGAAACGAACTCTGATCAAAGTTTCAGAAATGATGTAATTCATAATCAATCAGTTGATGAATTTGCTGATATAGATAAATCCTATATTCCTCTTAATCACAGAATAAATTGCGAGAAACCGAAAAAAAGGCTTCAAAAAACTTCTACGCTAATAAACGATAGATTTAGTCTTGGATTTGATGATCTTATGAATGATACCGATCCGGAAACCCAATTTCTCACGTAGCATTTAATATGAGGTGCGTTTCTTTACGTAATTGAGTATGCAATTGGTTACTAAAACAAGATACCAGAACAAGTACAAAATACCATTCATTGCCTTCATATTGTGGTATCTAGAATTTATTGTAGTATCTATGCCCATACACAATATGTTTTATATAATTTTAAAAGATCTCTCGTATTTCTAAGTAACTAAGTCGTTATTATTTTAAATCTTATATTTTCTTATAAATTCGATTTAAATTACTATATAAAATACCACTATAATTTTTCAACGTTGAAAATCTTCATATTTATGTAAGTAATAAAATGATAAACTAAATTTAAGGAACGTAGCGAAATATTACCGCGAAGGTAAGAAATTTTTTATCAATAATTGCTTGGGTTCTGTTAATAACGAAGATTGATTTATGTATCCAATTTTATGTATTACTGTATGAACTATGTTTTAATCGCATATTTTTAAAATATGCTTTTAAGATGTTTAAATCGTATTTGTACAAATGCAAAATAATTGTTTGATATATTGAATGTTGTAAATAGATTATACATTTTTAAATACATCTTGTGATATCGTCTTTTTAATTGAACATCTTGTAATATTATATATGCATATTTTATTGCATTTTCTAAACACTGTAATTATGTAATAATGAAATAAAGGACTGATATATTACTTGTTAAAATAAAAATAATCTGTATAAATTACCACAATACTAAATATCAATGACGTACATGTAAGATTATTTAGACACAAGCGTTTATCAGTCTGTATTAGCCTGGCTGTTGCATTCATTTGACATCTGTAATTATAAAAACCAATTATAATCGATGACAAATTAAATAATACCGAAACACTTAAACAAAACGATGTAAATTAAATAAAAACAGTTGATCTGTTAAAACACATGCGATTATATACACGTCTTGCACGTTCTCCAGCATTTCATGTGCTGCGTCCAATTTAATAATGTCATATATACACTGTAGTTACAATAAAAATATTATTAACAAATTTATATATAATAGGTAGTAAAAATAAATAGTATATTGTTATGTACATCGCATAGTTGAAACGTAGATAATGACTATTCTCTAGTTTAAACATAAAGATATGTATATATATGTGACGTATGATGAGAAATACAGGAGTTCGTGTCAAGCCATGCGTACCGTTGTTCAGCACAAAATAGACCCATCTGACAACGACCAGCAAACCGTAGTAAATGCTAATAAACTCGTTTTATACAACAAAATAGGTTCAAGGTTTCCTGTTGTGTCGTCAATTTATATTCACATCAATTTGCGAGTAGATGCGCTACACGTTTTTACATATTAAGATTCAACTTCTGTGTAGATACATACCTACTTATAAGAACTTCATGGTATTTACATGGTGTTCAAGAAAAAAGGGGAGGATATTTATAAGGCACTATGTTTCTAGACATTACAACAATGAGGAACTTTTGGGTACAGAAATATCGTTCGAAGTTTACTTTTTAAGTTGCAAATAATTTAATTTCATTTCCGACGAAAGTATCTTCATGCGATACTACAGTTCAAGAGGATACTCAAGTGATTTATTCGCTAATAAAAGAAATCTCTGCTGAAGGGATCATCGAGGGATTATTCATACTACTCAAGTTTAAATTAGGTGAAAATCGTCAACATCTATATTGTCAGCTTCAAAGTATTACCCTTTAGCACTTAATGGAGTGTCCTCTTCGTTGCGTAAAACACTGCTGTGGTACCCTGTTTCAAGTGGGCTTTAGCATCCACGTTGCTTCCTATCTATATCGTCTTTAATCCCCCAAATACTGTCTTTGTATGGTATTCTTAATTTTGGGGAATAGTAAACTGTTGCACGGCGCGGGATCCGGAAGGTAGGGCGTGTAATCAAGAATTGTGATATTAAAACGTGCAAGAAACTGGCTAATAACAAGGGCGAAGTAAAATTGACACTGGTCCAGGGTCCAGACTGGTACAAAGTCCAGAAACCGGTACGCGAAAAGATACGGCTATAAGTTAAATGTTCTTATCGTTACTTAGACGTTCCAGTTGAAGAAACAGTCGCAGCGTTTGCTATATGAGTCTTTTCTACACCGTACAGAACTTGTATATATATATATATCATCAGTTCATTTTCGGTTCTATTGACACATTTACAATTAGGTAATAACCAATGTATTCGAATTGCTATATGTAATTGTCTCATTAAATTTATACAAATGACAATTCTTGAAGTATTTGTTAATTTTTATGCTTTTTTATTGCCTATAATTTCTATATTAGCAATCTACATTATATTCTTTACATTATTGTGTTTTAAAATTTTCATATTCAACATGCTGTACTATTCGAAGAAATTATGGTTGCATATTATTCAGGTTGGTGTCACTGAATTTATACTGTTGATAACGGGGTGCTATCTTCCGGGGTACTGGTTACTGGTAGTTTGGTTGTGGGACTATGTGTTGAATGTGGTGGTCTCGAAGGACGGTGTTTGCAGCTTGCATTTTTCTTTGGCCAATCGCATACTCTTAATTCTGGGTTAAATTCAAGTCCTTCGTTGCATTGCATTAACACCGGTGTCTCTCTAATGCAGGAGTAATAGGTTGAGCAGTCGTCTGGATTTGGAAACAGAGCAACATCTTCTTCTTCCTCATTGGGACATTCAGGTGGTGGAGTAGCGGAAGCAAACGCCACCAAAAGTGTGGCAATTGTAACCACAAATATTGCTAAAATAATTATGGAACATTTCTAATTAGTATCGTATGCAGTAATTTATTACATTAAGATTAGGTGAAAAATATCGGCGAGGAATAGATATTTGGTAACAAGTCCAAATTTACTCTTTGTCCAATCAATCTTAACGCGAACTAAATTAGAATAAAACCAAAACTATCTTGCCTTTCATTTTTTTCTTTGCAGAGTTCTGTGTTCTAGTATCTTCCACACTGTTGTCGTTGTGACGATCAGGCCTGCCTTTCGATTTATATATCCGTCAGTTATACATTTTTTATGAAAGACTATGAAAAAACAAGTATATAATTGATTCTTAATCTTAACGTGTCGTGATAACACTATAGTCAAAAATTGGAGCGTAACATGCAGCTATTAGTTGTCAATGTCGTTTCTAATCATATCGTTCTCTGTTTAGAGAAATATCTAGATAATATTTACACTTCTAATTGAGGTAATATGTAATTGTAAGGTAACATTAATGTATTAGTTTGTATACCGAAGCGCAAAATGCTGTACGTATTAAATTTTTACCTTTTACAGTTCAATGTTCAAAGTTGTTGATCGCCGTTACGTTTTTCTTAATCTAAAGATACAAAAATAATATAACGAAGGAACTGTACTTCATTAAAAGTAATTTTCAACACTTGGAGCAACAAACGTCAAATATGTTGTAAATAGATTATACATTTTTAAATACATCTTGTGATATCGTCTTTTTAATTGAACATCTTGTTACATCTTGTGATATCGTCTTTTTAATTGAATATCTTGTAATATTATATATGCATATTTTATTGCATTTTCTAAACACTGTAATTACGTAATAATGAAATAAAGGACTGATATATTACTTGTTAAAATAACAACAATCTGCATAAATTACCACTATACTAAATATCAAAGGCGTACATGTAAAATTATTTACACACAGGCGTTTATCAGTCTGTATTGGCCTAGCTGTTGCATTCATTTCATATCTATAATTAGAGAGACCAATTATAATTAATGACAAATTAAATACATACCGAAGTACCTAAATAAAACGATGTAAATTAAATAAAAACAGTTAATCCCTTAAAACAAATCCCCAAACACACGTTCTCCAGCATTTAATGTGCTGCGTCCAATTTAATAATGTCATATATACACTGTAGTTACAATAAAAATATTATTAACAAACTTATATATAATAGGTAGTAAAAATAAATAGTATATTGTTATGTACATCGCATAATTGAAACGTAGATAATGACTATTCTCTAGTTTATACATAATGATATGTATATATAGTATGATGAGAAATACAGGAGGTAGTGTTAAGCCATGCGTACCGTTATTGAGCAGAAAATAGACCCATCTGACAACGACTAGCAAATAGTTGTAAAGGACAATATACTCGTCCTTATATTCACATCAATTAGCGAGTAGATGCGCTACACGTTTTTACATATTAAGATTCAACTTCTGTATAGATACATACATACATATAAAAACTTCATGATATTTACGTGGTTTTCAAAAAAAGAGGGGATGACATTTACAAGGCATTATGTTTCTAGACATTAGAACAATGAGAAACCTTTCGGTACAGAAATGTCGTTTGGAGCTTACTTTTTAAGTTGCAGATAATTTAATTTCATTTCCGGCGAAAGTATCTTCATGCGATACTATAGTTTAAGAGGATACTTAAGTGGTTTATTCACTAATAAAAGAAATCTCTACTTAGGAAATCATTGAAGGATTATTCACATTATTCAAATTTAATTATGTGATTGGAGGCTACACGTTAATCTAATTGTGTACACTGTATTAGAAGTAGCATTGAAAAAGTATTGGAAAAGTATGAGGTGTGGAAAGAAGATACGTGGAAAGAATTAATAAAAATTATTTGTTTGAAACTTCGTCAAAATCTGTACTCTCTCTGCTCGAGATTTTGGGTGATACTCAGTTTATGACACGGACAACGCTTCTGCTTTTTTTGGAAAGTTGGAGGTTCTCGCCTCGCAAGTTGCAATGTTTGCAAAACCCACATTGTCAAGTGGCTGTTTATTTTTTATTATTATTTAATTTGTACTTTACAATTTGTCCAGCTGGACATTTGGTAAATTTTTCTAATTTAATTGCTAAATAACGTGTGGATGGCTACTCCCAGCGGGATACCATTTTCGAGTAGAGACTAAGTGACACCCTAAGTGCCCATCGGGTCCGCTCTAAAGTGAACCACGTGTCCTAAACCTCAACATCCGATGACAACGGAACACTAAACCAGGACGTTACGCTACGCACCCTCGAGCATGTACGTACAAAATGCACTACATTAGAGACACCGACGACAGTTCGATTGTTACAGAATTGGATAGAATAGATTCCCGCTTCACAGGAAACATTAACAAAAACAGATCTCCTAGACGGACAGTTAGAATGTAAGCTCGGCAGCCATCAAGCACGAGACTCATCACGTACTGGCCTAAATTTAACACCGTTACGTATAGTTCACATTCTTTCATGTATACTAAACAGTTCAAATAAACTACTAAATACAAGCTTAATAGACATCTTTAATCTACATCCACCTTGGGCATTCATAGCGTTCAAGGGTCGCGACATCAACCAACTAGTTGCAACCTGACTGATCGCCACTTAGTTGGTAATTCGCCACAGTCACCTTCACAGTGCTAACCGTCAGCACTTAATCAAGTATCCTCTCCAGTGCTGCGGTTCCTCGTTTCAAGTGGACTTTAGCATCCGCATTGCTTCCTATTTGTATCGTTTTTAATGCCTAAAATACCATACTGTCCTTGTATGGTATTTTTAACCTTAGGGAATAGTAAACTATTGCACGGAGCGGGATCCGGAAGGTAGGGCGAGTAATCAAGGATTGTAATATTAAAATGTGCAAGAAACTGGCAAACAGCGAGCGATGTGTGGCGGTGGTGCGTTGTCATGATGAAGAGCATTTATAACATCGGCTAATAACAAGCCCGTACTAAAATTGTCACTGCGTAAGAGGTCCAGAAACTGGTCCATAAGAAGGTCCACGAGTCGTATAGTTATGAAATTTGAACTGACTGACGATTATTGATGATAGCTACGGCTATAACTTACATGTTCTTATCGTTACTTAGACGTTCCAATCGAAGAAACAGTCACAGCGTTGGCTATATGAGTCTTTTTGCTACACCGTATAGAAATTGCATATCAACATAATCAGTCCATTTTCGGTTCTATTGACATTTTTATAATTACGTAATAAGTAATGTAATCAAATTGCTATATGTAATTGTCACATTAAATTTAATCAAATTAGAATTAATGAAATATTGGTTAATTAGTATGCTTTTTTATTGCCTGTAATTGCCACATTATCAATCTACATTATATTGTTTACATTATTGTGTTTAAAAATTTTCATATTCAACATGCTGTACTATTCGAAGAAATTATGATTGCATATTGTTCAGGTCGGTGTCATTCTGGACATGTACTGTTACTTCCTCTGGTGCCACGTCAGGGGAACCAGTAACAGTTGCTGCTGATGCGGGACTATCTGACGGACTTGATCTGACGAGACGTTTACAGCGGACAGTTTTCCTAGGCCAATCACATACTTTTAATTTCGGGTTAAATTCAAGTCCTTCGTTGCATTGCATCAACAATGGTTCGCCTCTATCGCATTGATAAAAGGTTGAGCAGTCGTCTGGATTCGGAAGGAAGATATCGTGTTGTCCGCTTCCACATTCAGGTGATGTTGAAGCAAACGCCACCAAAAGAGCGGTAAGTGCAACCACAAATATTGCTAAAATAATTATGGAACACCTCTAATTAGTATCGTATGCAGTAACTTATTACATTAAGATTAGGTGAAAAATATCGGCGAGGAATAGATATTTGGTAACAAGTCCAAATTTACTCTTTGTCCAATCAATCTTAACGCGAACTAAATTAGAATAAAACCAAAACTATCTTACCTTTCATTTTTTCTTTGAAGAGTTCTGTGTTCTAGTATCTTCCACACTGTTGTCGATGTGACGATCAGGCCTGCCTTTCTCCTTATATATCCGTCAGTTATACATTTTTTATGATAGACTATCAAAAAGCAAGTATATAATTGGTTATTAATATTAACGTGTCGTGATAACACTACAATCAAAAATTGGAAATTGTAGCAGCGGCCGTAACATACAGTCATTAGTTGTCAATGTAGTTTCTAATCATACGATTCTCTTGTCAGAGAAAGACCGATATAATATTTACACTTCTAATTGAGCTAATATGTAATTCTAATGTAACATTAATGTATTAGTTCGTATGTCGAAGCGCAAAATGCTTTACGTATTAAATTTTTACTTTTTACATTTTAATGTTCAAAGTCGTCGACCGGCGTTACACGTTTCTTAATCTAAAGATACTATTATGATACAACGAAGGAATTGTCCTTCATTAAAAGTAATTTTTAACACTTGGAGAAACAAATGTCAAGTGTATCGAATAAAATATCAATAGATATTTCATTTTCAAAGGAATGTTAATTAATAAAGTTGATAATTTTTCCGAGAAAAATAAAGATATCAAGATATTAGTTTGCACTAAAATTTTATTAAATTTTCGCTTAAAGCAGAGAATCTTTTGCGTAATCATTTTTACATAATTACTTCTACTGTATTTAATTGTTCAAAATTGGAATATGTTACTGTCTTAGAATTAGATAGAATAACACGCTTATGCAAACACTAAACTATTATAAATGATAAATGAGACATAAAGGTACAACAAAATAAAGAAAAGATGTAAGAGGATTTACAAATGAGAAGTAGCAAAATTTATCAAACGATTTTTTCGTTTGACATTTGTGGCATAAGTTATGATTGTTGACAGAGAGTAGAAAAAATCTATAAATTAGAGTACCTTGGGTATCAAATCAAATCAACGTTAGTGAATATTCTTGTTTTCGTCTATGCACTCGTTTTGGGGAACATAAGTTTGGAACATGTGAGTTTAGAGTTAATTTGACATACGCTACGAATTTTCAAATTCGATTTTTTCGAAAATGGGACAACAGGCGAAAGACATTTAATGAAAGATCCCTTTTCTGTTATTTTCTTCCTGAGATCTGATATATGTTCATTCCTTCGTCTTATAATTTACTCATATATAGTTTGTTAACATAAAGATAATGATAAGATGCCCTACACGTTTTGACATATTAAAATTCAACTTTTTTGTAGATACATACCTACTTATAAGAACTTCATGGTATTTACATGGTGTTCAAGAAAAAAGGGGAGGATATTTATAAGGCACTATGTTTCTAGACATTACAACAATGAGAAACCTTTGGGTACAGAAATATCGTCCGAAGTTTACTTTTTAAGTTGCAAATAATTTCATTTTATTGCCAGCGAGAGTATCTGTATACGATACTCTAGTTCATGAGGATGCTCAAGTGGTTTATTCGTTAATAAAAGAAATCTCTGCTAAAGGAATAATCGAGGGATTATTCACACTACTCAAGTTTAATCAGGTGATTGAAGGTTACATGTTAATCTAATTGTGCAAACTACATTAGAAGTAGTATCGAAAAGGTATTGGAAATGTACGAGGCGTGGAAAGAAAGTTCGTGGAAACTAATAAAAATGATTTGTTGGAAACTTCGACAACATCTATATTGTCAGCTTCAAAGTATTAGCCTTTGGCATTTAATGGAGTGTCCTCCCCATTGCGTAAAACAGTGTTACGATTCCCCGTTTCAAGTGGGCTTTAGCATCCACGTTTCTTCCTATTTGTATCGTTTTTAATCCCCAAAATACTGTCCCTGTATGGTATTCTTAACTTTGGGGAATAGTAAACTGTTGCATGGCGCGGGATCCGAAAGGTAGGGCGGGTAATCAAGGATTGTAACATTAAAACGTGCAAGAACTGGCGAACAACGAGCGACGTGTGACAGCGGTGCGTTGTCATGACAGAAAACATTTATGACATCGGCTAATAACAAGGACGTACTAAAATTGTCACTGCGTACGAGGTCTAGAAACTGATCCAAAAGAAGATCCGCGAGTCGTATAGCTAAGAAATTTGAACTGACTGACGATTACTGACGATAGATACGACTATAACTCACATGTTCTTATCGTTACTTAGACGTTTCAATGGAAGAAATAGTCGCAGCGTTGGCTATATGAGTCTTTTCTACAGCGTATAGAACTTGTATTTACAGGGTGGTTGTTAACTGGTGGTACAAGCGGAAAGGGGGTGATTCTACGCGAAGAAAGAAGTCGAAAATATAGAATAAAAATTTTTCGTTTGAGGCTTTGTTTTCGAGAAAATCGACTTTGAATTTTCGCTCGGTACGCGTGCGGTACATTACAACGGATCTCACTGTAGATCGTTGTCTCGATGGAAAAAATTAAAAAAAAAGAAAGAAATTACAAAACAAATTTTTACCAATCATCTTGTATATATATATATCATCAGTTCATTTTCGGTTCTACTGACACATTTACAATTACGTAATAAGCAATGCAATCGAATTGCCAAATGTAATTATCACATTAAATTTATACAAAAGACAATTAATGAAGTATTTGTTAATTTTTATGCTTTTTTATTGTCTATAATTGCCTCATTATCAATCTACATTATATTGTTTACATTTCTGTGTATTAATATATTCATATTCAACATGCTATTCTGTTCGAACAAATTATGGTTGCATATTATTCCGGTCGGTGACACTCTGGATCTATACTGTTATTTATGCTGGCATGCGGCCGATATCAACATGTTTTGTTGATTTGGATGTGGAGGCTTGTGGTGGATTTGGTGAATGTGGTGAATGTGGTGGTCGTACAGGCCGACGTTTACAGGTTACATTTTTCTTTGGCCAGTCGCATATTCTTAATATCGGGTTATATTCAAGTCCTTGGTGGCATTGCATCAACAACGGTTGGTCTCTAATGCAGGTATAATAGCTTGTGCAGTCGTCTGGATTCGGAAACAGAGCAACATCTTCTTCGCTGTCATCGGGACATTCAGGTGGTGGAGTAGCGGAAACGAACGCCACCAAAAGAGCGGTAAGTGCAACCACAAATATTGCTAAAATAATTATGAAACACTTCTAATTAGTATCGTATGCAGTAACTTATTACATTAAGATTAGGTCAAAAATATCGACGTGGAAAAGATATTTGATAACGAATCCAAATTTACTCCTTGTCCAATCAATCTTAACGTGAACTAAATGAAACTAAAACCAAAACTATCTTACCCTTCATTTTTTCTTTGAAGAGTTCTGTGTTCTAGTATCTTCCACACTGTTGTCAATGTGACGATCAGGCCTGCCTTTATGCTTATATATCCGTCAGTTATACATTTTTTATGATAGACTATCAAAAAGCAAGTATATAATTGGTTATTAATATTAACGTGTCGTGATAACACTACAATCAAAAATTGGAAATTGTAGGAGCGGCCGTAACATACAGTCATTAGTTGTCAATGTAGTTTCTAATCATACGGTTCTCTTGTCAGAGAAAGATCAACATAATATTTACACTTCTAATTGAGCTAATATGTAATTCTAATGTAACATTATTGTATTAGTTTGTATACCGAAGCGCAAAATGCTTTACCTATTAAATTTTTACTTTTTACATTTTAATGTTCAAAGTCGTCGACCGGCGTTACACTTTTCTGAATCTAAAGATACTATTATGATACAACGACGGAATCGTTCTTCATTGAAAGTAGTTCTCGACACTTGGAGAAACAAACGTCAAATATATCGAACAAAACACCAATAAATATTCCGTTTTTGAAGGTATGTTAAATAAAAATCTCAAGATATTACTTCGAGCTAATATTTTATCAAATTTTTGCCTGAAGCGGAGAATCTTTTTCGTAATCATTTTTACATAATTATTTCTATTGCCTTTAATTGTCCAAAATTGGAAGGTATCTTTTATTGCTATCTTAGAATTAGATAAAATTATACGTTTATGCACACAATAAGCTATTTATTATAAATGATAAATGAAACATAAAGGTACAACAAAATAAAGAAAAGATGTACTTACTGTCTTAGAATTAGATAGAATAACACGCTTATGCAAACACTAAACTATTATAAATGATAAATGAAACATAAAGGAACAACAAAATAAAGAAAAGATGTAACAGGATTTACGAATGAGAAGTAGCAAAACTTATCAAACGATTTTTTCGTTTGACATTTGTGGCATAAGTTATGATTGTTGACAGAGAGTAGAAAAAGTCTATAAATTAGAGTACCTTGGGTATCAAATCAAATCAACGTTAGTGAATATGTTCATATTCTTGTTTTCGTCTATGCACTCGTTTTGGGGAACATAAGTTTGGAACATGTGAGTTTGGAGTTAATATGACATACGCTACGAATTTTCAAATTTTTTCGAAAATGGGATAATAGGCAAAAGACATTTAATAAAAGATCTCTTTTCTTTTATTTTCTTCCTGGAATCGGATATATGTTTACTCCATCGTCTTATAATTTGCTTGTATAATACTTTTGTCATGGTAATATTTTATCTTAATATATTTGGTGTGATAACAATTCATTTTGTACCTCTGTAATCTTGTCAATGGTCTATTAGACGTTACAAATTATCTAACATTACAATTTATAAGTTCTAATCATTTTAGGAAGTCACATTAATACTATCATGAATGAAATTTCATCGCAGTGGATCTTCTTTATTTTAAGATAAAAGTCGAATAAATAGTGTTTAATGTTTTATAATTATTCAATAACAAAGGAAAGTAGAAAAGTTGTTACTTGCGTTGGTCGAAAGCAACATTGTGATATCATCATATCTGTATATTACTGTATATTATTATATATTATCATATATTATATATATAATACAAAACGTTATAACATTAGGTAATGCAAGATTTACATGGGGTGAAATTTTATCCTTCGAGGCTTAGTAATTGACAAATATTTAAGTTCATTCTGTGACATTTATCATGTCCAAATTTATAATATCGTTGAAAGAGTCGATTCATATAGCACAAAATGGAGACGTCAATATCATTAATCATCGAAAGCTCAAAGTGATTCGATATAGAAACGCTCGTCAAATTTTCGGTCCAACGAGCGCTAAACGATTGCATCGAGAAAACGATAGCGTTTTAAGATTGTAAATGAAATAATGAAATATTCATCGTCAGCTTAATGCTTATAAACAATAAGAAGTTACGAAGTTTGAACAAAGTCACGTACACGCAATAGATAAAACAGAAGAACGATTTAAATAAAACAAAGGGACAGGATTACTGAAAGTAAATGAAGTTCCTGAGAGGAAAAAAGGAAGACGTGAAACAAGATTTAATAATAAGGCATGAAAAGACTTAAAATAAACAACTTTAGAGCCGCATAAAATAACAGAGAAAGTTGAGGCAGGTTGGCGAGTAAAATCAGTTGTAAGAAATGCACTTCCTCGGTAGTTAACTTCTAGTTGGACTACTTTGTATGGGAAACAGCATAAAGTAGATTTCACGGAATCAACTTTGTTATTGTAACGAGTAGATATCGCAACAATATTCCGATGAGTTTTTATACAAAAGCTATCGCTAGAATGCTGAAAAATAAAAGTTTGCATATTAATTTTACAATGCTATATTAATTCTTTACATAATCATTGATTATAATGTAGCGTGTACGTCAGAACAAAAGAATATTGCAATTGATTGATCAGTTTTTCTAATTGTATTTCTATATCTTCAGGTAAAGTTTATCTTTACGAGTTACGCAGTTCTACTGTTATCGTTATTGGAAATGTTTTTCGGAACCGCATGATGCTTCATAATGTAATGTACAGCGCCACAATGTATACTTGAATTTCTCAAATAAACATACGAGCCAAAATCGTAAAAACTAATCAAATATAACATTTTCTCAATCGTCAAATTTTGCCCGAGGAAATTTTTCTGTAAGGATAAACATGATTTTTCAATTGTTGAACCTAACTTTTAGAAATATACTGATCCTTGAGTGAAAACAACTTTCAAAAATACATTATACGTTAAAAAATCGTCGATGAAATTAATCTTCGCAAACGTATCAAACATAAAAAGACCTTTGGCGTCGATTCTAACGAGGAGATATGTTTGTCTATTAAAAATTCTATCTACTTGAAAATCGATTGCTTAAAATCAGAAGGAGGATCTGTCATGTTTTTGGAAAAAATGAACTTAACTTTTATATATTATAATTTGTTCTATAACATAATCGGTTTTTAACCTACATTCGATTACTATATAAATACTTAGCGAAATAATTTATACGCAAATAAACCACGGAAATGGAAAACGTTGATTCCATGAATTTTGTGTGTATATTCGTTCGAACACAACAGAGATAAACAACAAATAAAGAAACAAGGGACAATTGATTGATTTTTTCTCTAGTATCGAAAACAAATTGTTCGTGATACATGCTTTCGTTTATTAATTGTATTATCTATCGCAACTAGCTTGCATTTTATTCGTAATTCTTAAAAAAAAAAAAAGATTATACATGGCAAGTTCCAAAAATGCGTCTAAAATTAAAGGTCATGCTTTGTGTGGATTGCAAAACCAAAAAGGGATATAAAAATCATATGTACATCGAATCATTAATTTTAGTCAATTGCCAAATAGTATACTGCTTACAATCCTATTTCCTTATTTATTCCGTTAATTCATAACTGACAGAATACGATATCATGGAAATAAAACGAAGTCAATAAATAGTGTCATATAATGAAACTTAAACCTAAGATACCATCATAATATTAGGTTGTCCGAAAAGTTTCTTTTTATGAGGAAATAATAGACGCGCAACGTTTTTCGTTTTATATTATTTTGTCGAATTACGTACGATCCATTTTGTTCTGTTAAGATAAACACCGCGACATTTCACAGACTTGGTTTCACGTTTATATGAAGGTGCATTGTAGTAAAAAACACGTTTGTTAAAGAAAGACACTTTTCGGACAATCTAATACATACACCATCGCTCGAAAATACTCGGATTTTATCGTAAACTGCTATATGTTATTAGCTATTTTAGATATCTAAAGAACGGAGAGAAAGATTCGAGCATAGAAACTGTGTGAATTCAAATTTTATAATTTTACGTTGCAATTTTGTTTTATCTAACTTTTTTTAGTTTGTGGCCGTTAATTCGGTTTACTAGTCTTTCCGCAATGTAGTCGTGCGGCCACATCTGTCCCAGCCACGTTATAAACTGTGGAACATCTTTTTCTCAAAAAACTGGCGAAACAACGTGCAGCGAGAAATTGTGTAGGATCGTCGTACGATCTTCATTATGAATACGTATCCCGCGGAGTTTAAACCGTTCTCCATGGTTTTCCATTTTCCCGACGAATATTGAAACACGAATTAACGTCTGTGCACGTACCGACACATTTCTGGCGGAACGCTTGCATGAAAAGTAAAATAGAACAAATAAACTCAGCGACATTCAACGCTGAGAAATAAAATTCTGTCGTAAGTTTAGTATCTAGTTGATTTAAGTGCTATTTTTTTATTTTTTGCGACGCTGGAAATCTCTAAGATTCGAAATAAACGTTGTATTCAGCTGACTGTGAAAACTAAACCAATTGAGAAACGACGGAAATGTTAGAAGAGAATACACAGTGATATTACACGTGTAATAAGCAGAGAGAAAATTCTTTCTGAAATTTAAGATCCATACACAAAATATTTATACAGAGTGTTCGATTTTAATCTATAATTACAAAGTACTTGCTATATGAAATAATGGCCCAGAAATTGGATGACTTCGAGAGGGAGTATAATTCGATGTAGTTGGATTTTTTGTAAATTGTCGCGTGAAATAAAAGCGACGTTACTTGCGCTTTTATGTTTGTGTCGTCCTTCATGCCAATGATTTTTATTGACCATAAATAGTTTTATATTTTCTTGCAGGAAATGACGTACTGTTTCGCTGCTGCTTTATTAAAAATTGCGATTCCATTAGAAAAGATGTATGTGACCTGTACATGACAATCTACAAATCCGATTACATCGGATTGTGCTTTCCTCGAAACCATTTAATTCTTTTCTGCACGATTTTTTTATTCTGCAAGTAATAACCTGTGTACAGTTAAAATGGCAAGCGAGTGGAATATTCTATTTTTATTTCATAACCGTAGCTTTTAGACATAATGGTTTATGCAAGTAAGTGATTATATTCGTAAATACGTGTATATGTGAGTACTTGTTAATCTCTATTTAATGCGCGTTTGCTTTTCTTGCGAACAAGAATCTGATTCGACAGTACATAGAAGATAAAGAAGCGACAGTCGGCTCTTGTGTAATCGATTGATGATAGATGATTGCGATAATTTTGAATACTGCACTTATGATTCACTAATAGAGATTAGTAATCCTTTAAAACAATATTATATGTATTGGAATGAAATGCTTCCGTAGAATACAGCTGAAGATATGTCCAGGATCTCTTGCGTAATCCAATATTAATATTTTTTACTAATATTCTAATATATCGATCTTTCAATCGAATATCACTAATATTCTTCGAGTGGAACTTCTCGTGAAATTTCTAAGTTACAAATTATAATTTTGCATTACTGATCAATGTTTTTGGTAATAAAGAAGAGAAACTTAGTCACAGAAGAAATAAAACTCTGGCGAGCGCGAGTGAATTTTACGAAATTGTCACTAAAGAAACTTTCACGATCCGCGTATAATATCTTTGCCAGCATCCAATAAGAACTCTAAAAAACAAAGATTTCTATTCGAGAAGAATTTATCTTGTGCTTTGAATTATCGTTTTCATTTGTTATCGATCGGTTAAACGAGACACATACTTAATTCACGCGAGGCAGAAGGAAATGATGGAGCCGATACCGCAAAAGCTTAACTCAAGAAAAATGTGCTCTCTTATCCGAGAACTGTCGTATTATTAACACATCTTACACTACCATTGTGCATACAGAATGTTAAGAAATAAAGATCTGAAATTTTACTTTACTTTATATTATTTATGTATTTAATATAAATATTTGATTTTCTTCTCAAATCTTCTGAAACCTCAAGAGATAGAAACTTCTAATTGTTTATTGTTTACGCAGTATGAAAGAATTGTTCTACATACTACAAGAGCTTTTTTCAAATCTACAGGAGCAGAGAATCGAAGACAAAATTTAAAATGTTCAATAGAAATAGATGGTACGTGGTACATGATTTTAATTTTTATATTAAACCGAATACATTCTGCTTATACAATTTTGTTCCGCTGCAATGTATCGTTTGAAAATTACGATTGATCAAGATACGTTTAGCAATGAACATATTTTAAGGGTCGTAATTTCCCGGGAATTTGTCACTATGAAAATTATCTTCTAAGGAGATTACTGTTTCTATCGTATCAGCTATATCGATATCGGGGAACAGAAGATCACCGATTATCGAATAATATAAATCTAATCTATTAATATAATATAAATCTGTAACATATAGAATAGTTACGAGTGCCATATAAAACCTAACGACATTAAAAGAAAAGAAAGAACAGAACATTTTATGTTTGCCTATAGTATATGTTCTAGTCGTTCGTAGAATATCTATTACCGTACCATCATGTACTTATCACAGGATGCCGATAAGCGATTGCAGCATGCATCGATAACCTATTAAAAAAATGTTTTGAGGATATATAAAGGGAAGACACAATCTTACAATTAGTCAGGGAATCATATCACTTCTGTCACGACACGAAGAAACTACGACTAGAGAAAGAATACCCTACGAAGCCAAGATGAAAAGTAAATTTCTTTTTTATTTAACAAAATTCAATTATAATTTGTATGTTCTCCGATTAAATATAGAATTTTAATTATAGGAACTACATATGTTACGTCACACAATATATATTATATAAATAAGTATAAGTATGTACATTATGTACATGTAGGTAATATTTACCAACGATCTCTTATTCACTTGATTCTTCTGTTGCTTACAACTGTTGCGATATTTAAAGATATTAATAAGATATTCGCAAGAAAATCATGGAAATATACTCACTAAACTGACGTGGAATGTGATTTGCATCACATGACGTCGTCAACTGTGTAAACGAGTGTATTGTTCTAACTTCAGAAATTCATCAATTGGTCCGATCTATAATTTAACTTTGAATTTAGAAAGAATGAATTGCATTTATAAATTTTTATTTATGAAAATGTATAAAAAAGAAACATATCATGTTATTTTCAGAGGACAAACATGTTGCCAATTATAGGGAGTATTAGGAATAATAATTATAATTATTAGGAAAAAGGTGAATTCACTTTCCAAGGCTTATCGCTATAGATAGGATATTCGAAATAGGCGGTTTCAATACTCTTAATTGAATGTAATATTAATAAGTTGCAGGATGCAATATTAAGCGATATCGATTGGTAAATTTTTCAGCAATGTTTGCGGTAATCCTCGCTACGGTCTTTCTGGCCTTTGTTTCTGCCGCTCCACAATGTCCATCCAATCAAGATGATGTTGTCTTAGTTCCGAATCCAGCTGACTGCGCATCCTATTATGCCTGCGACGGTGGTGTTGCATACTTAATGAATTGCTCTGCCGGACTTCTCTTTAACCCCGAATTACGAGTTTGCGATTGGGCAGAGAATGTAACCTGTTCCGTTACGCCTTCACCCAGCGCAGCACCAAATGAAGTACTTGAAAATTCCAACGAAGAATCCAGCGAAGAACCCAGCGAAGAACCCAGCGAAGAACCCAGCGAAGAACCCAGCGAAGAACCCAGCGAAGAACCCAGCGAAGAACCCAGCGAAGAACCCAGCGAAGAACCCAGCGAAGAACCCAGCGAAGAACCCAGCGAAGAACCCAGCGAAGAACCCAGCGAAGAACCCAGCGAAGAACCCAGCGAAGAACCCAGCGAAGAACCCAGCGAAGAACCCAGCGAAGAACCCAGCGAAGAACCCAGCGAAGAACCCAGCGAAGAACCCAGCGAAGAACCCAGCGAAGAACCCAGCGAAGAACCCAGCGAAGAACCCAGCGAAGAACCCAGCGAAGAACCCAGCGAAGAACCCAGCGAAGAACCCAGCGAAGAACCCAGCGAAGAACCCAGCGAAGAACCCAGCGAAGAACCCAGCGAAGAACCCAGCGAAGAACCCAGCGAAGAACCCAGCGAAGAACCCAGCGAAGAACCCAGCGAAGAACCCAGCGAAGAACCCAGCGAAGAACCCAGCGAAGAACCCAGCGAAGAACCCAGCGAAGAACCCAGCGAAGAACCCAGTGAAGATTCCGACGAAGTTATCAAAATGCCCAATGCAGAACCTTGCGCAGCATCTAGCGAATCCAGCGAATCCAGCGAATCCGGTGAAGGATCTGATGAACTACCTATTTATAAGTAAAGAATCAGAAGTTTGAAGGTATCTCGGACTTTACTGTATAAAATATATATTTTATACAATATATATTTTAACAATATATATTTTATACAATAATATATTGTTACTATTTATACAAGATGTTTCAGAATCACTCTTTTTGTCTAAAATTGTCCGATCTCAAAATTTTGTACACACGTTTTGAGCTATTGCACATTATTATGTATTATAGTGATCGATATCGTGCATGAAATATAATTAACCTATTATAAGCCTATACCGTTTCCAACTTATTTAAATATATATATATATTATCTTTCAATCAAACCTTTCGTATCGCGAGTACAAATATTATATATACTCAGAAATTACACGTATTTGTGATACGTTTCGAATTATCGTTAAGTGAGATTGTATTTTCATCAACGTAACCATCCAAGTCTTCGATAACGTAAACGGTATAAACAACTATTTTTAATAATAGAATAGGAAATTCTTATCTCAGAAATGAAAGTTCTTACGTTTTCGATAAAAGGGAAATTCTTTATACAGGCTGCACGATGTGTAACTGACTAATTTCAAAGTTCCGTCATTCTGGAACGACGCATCGCGTCGCTTTTTCTTCCGCCTTGACAAATGTTTTATGCACGCGTGGCAAAATAATTCTGAAGCTTTACGTATTTCAAGAGCGAGAAAAAATTGTTAAAACATTTTGAGTCGTCATGCATCGCGGACAAATCGCCGGCGATCAAAAACTATTATTAAACTCGACGACCAAAAGCATACGAATTGATATACTCCGATGAATCTAATAATCGCCGGATACTTAACGACAATACGTAACGACACTTTATCAAAGTAATTCATCGATAATGATGATTTTATACAAGCTACATTGGCGATATCACCTGGCCACTTAGATCACCTGATTTTAATCACATCGGATATTCCTCTTGAAGTTTTCTTAAAAGTAAGGTGTATATCAATAAACCAAGCACGATCGAGCAGCTTAACGATACTGTTCAAGAAGCGAACATGTCTTTCGCGAAAATGTAATGACAGATACGATTGAGAGAATTCGACATGTTCCGTACATTATATGCAAGCATTAACAATAAATGATTTGTATTGAAAAGACTGTTGTTTTCTATTTTATCTAAAAGTTATTGATAACGAAAATTATACAGCGTTCGCACTGTATCTGCGTCGAGAAAGAAAAGAAGAATACATATTTTTCCCATTCGGAGAAAACATTCGTTAGAAGACTTATCATGCAATTAACTCAAGTTAATTTGACAGAAAGAAAAGTAAGTACATTGAGGTGGCCGACATTCTCCTCATTAATTGAAATTGGATAGGATTTACGTTCGGGATAGTTCAACGTTACTGTCGCGGATCATTTCGATGCAAAGTGTAATCACTGGCAAAGTAAAGAGAAAGGGATCCGTGAAATATTCTGTGGAACCATTAAGCGTCCCAAAAGTTCGGCTTACGTTTCACGGAATGCAAGTCGTTTAAAACTTTCCCAGGCAATCGAAAACATCAGTATAACTTTCGTTCGTTTTCTTCGGCAATTTCCACGCTTGTGAAACTTCAAAAAAGATCAGACTTCTCTCGTTCTCACGACAATCTTGTGTGGGAAATATGACTTGAATGCATGGTAATGAATGAATTCATTGTGCACTTGTTTTGTATCTCTCTCAGTTTAAAAATGAAAGAAGTCAGCGTATGTACAACGTAAACGAGAGGGATATCGGTCGATCAAATTGAATCGATTGTCGCTGTAGCGATGCTAAATGCGAAATTTTAGACGTACAATTGTTTTCATATGTATACAGCGAAGTCGGTATTTTCAGTACAGTTGATATTTATGCAAATTCATATTTTTATGAGGGTAATTAAAGAACTAGGTAGAAAATTCTTAGTTAATACGGACTAATTCATCTTAGAAAGGAAATTTTTCTCAGCAAATTCTTCTCGACCAATCGATATTTTTTCTTATCATTTTAATTATGTTTAAACGTACGCGAATTAAATTCCACGAATTATTTAAGATACTTGGAATATCTTTTATGGAATGTTCAACCAGCGTAACTATCGCGAGAAATACTTTTATGACATTAAAATAAGATAGACATCTGCGTAGCTGGAATAAAACTCGCATGGGGTTCCAAATGCTTTGTAAAAAAAATGTGAGCATGAAATTTAAAAAGAGCGTTTAAATAAATTTCGCTAGCAAGTTGAGCAACAAACGAATTGAATGTAATGTAAAATGTCATCGATAAGGTGCGTTAAATATTTCAAAAACTTCTGCATGAAAGTTGTATATTGAAACTACACTCAAAACAACGTATCCTCCGAGTATCATACTTCAAAACTATCAGATTGTTAGCAACCCCCGGAAGAAGATCGATACCCATTGATTTGTCACGGAATGGATGCTTTTTCCAATATTGGATTTCATTATGTACGATCAAAAAACACGCTTAAACATCTTCTGACTTTTCTACAATAGTACAACGAAATTCTTGAATGCGAATGAAATAAATAAATAACATAACATGACGTAATAGAAAACATAATGGAACGCAAAACAATCACAAAAGCAAACTACCAAATATCCAATTAAATGGCACGTACATAACACAAAGAAGGCAAGTTAAATACCTAGGACTCCACTTAGACACACAACGTACATGGAAACAACATACTAAATCAATTATAGACAGAAGTACTGGCTAACTCAGCATAGAAAATAAGCTAATAATCTACAAAACGATAATAAAACCAATTTGGACGTACGGAATACCGCTATGGGGGGCAGCAGCAACGAGCCACATAAATAAACTAGAGTCGCTACAATCGAAGATACTGAGATCAATAGTCAACCCCCCATGGTATGTCAGAAACGAGGATATACGCAAAGACTTAAAAATACCAACGGTCAAAGAAGAAATCGGCAGGTACGCAGAAAAATACAGGGAAAGAACGGCAACACGTCCAAACCAGCTGACTGCTGAAGCGAGCAAAACTCTCATAGAAAGAAGACTAAAAAGAAAACACTCCATTGACCTCACTAAGGAAATAAAATAGTCAAACTCGAAGATGATATTCCGTTGGGGGTAACTATCCACGTGTTATTTAGCAATTAAGTTAGAAAAATTTACCAAATGTCCATCTGGACGAATTGTAAAGTACAAATTAAATAATAATAAAAAAAAGAACTTTACAAAAGAGCTCCGAAGCCATGGGTCTATGGGTATTTATAAAATTACGAAAAGCTTGCCTATCTGTGGCCGCTGCACCATGTGTGCAAGGCATGATCCTAGAAAAGACTATGATGCTGAGAGACTCTTCAAATTGAAAATGAACCGAGAGGAACAGAGGAAGAATAAAGGACTACCGCGTATCCAAACAACGGCATTGATGGCACACGTTGAGGATGAGAAACAAAGAGAAAGCAAGGCTAAACCGTGTTCGCATGGTGGCAGCTGGACCGAAACGATAGTACTGTTCAATCTATCTCTACTGGAACATCTCAATAACAATTACTTTCCGCAACATCGACGGTATTTAATTCACGGAAACGTGCATGCGTTACGCCATGTCCCGCCACATTCACCGCAAGCCATCGAAATGGCTGTCGCCTCTCGCACCACTTTCCGATCTTTTCTCTTCGCCTTGATTCGATCTTGCTACGACTCCATATCTTCTCGAATGGGCTAATAATCGTGTATCTGGACCATTATTACCCTCGAGAAGGGCGAGTTGCGAACCGATAAGCTGACAATTTCGGAGAACTTGGAGTCGTTCGAGCGCAAATATGCACCGGATGCACATTCTACGCGCGTAACGTACACAGCCGTGCGATCGCTTGCACACGTTCACGCCGCTTGTCTGTATTAGAACGGGGACGGTTCGCGAGGGAGAGGGTCGATGGGGGTGGTTACTGGGATTTTCAGTACGCGCGCGATCGCCGTGCCGAAAACACGGCCGCAGCGTGTCGTGCATCCCTTCGGCTGGATGGGCACTCCGTTCTCTCCGTGACGATCTCGAACTTGTTGATGTATCTCGCGGTTCAGTCTTGAAACATACGAGACAAACCTAACGAGATTGATATCAACGGTGATATGCATGGAAATTTTGATGGTTCGTGGAGTGTGTGAATTTGAACGAAGAAGTATCAGACTGTGATAAACGATTGGCAAATAAAATCGACACATTGAAGCGTATGTAGATAAGTTACGATAATACGAACCAATCGACAAATGTAGAATTAAAGTTGACGAAAAAAGGAAATTCGGGGCTTGTGAGCAAAACGATCGGTGAAAAATGTCAATCGTACGTTTCAATGATGTTGCACCTATGGTTCTATTGAAAATTCGTTGCTTCAAATTTGTAACGTCCTAACAAATCCGATAGTTAACTATAAACGCGGTAGAGCATTCGAGCGTAATTGTCGACCGAAGTTGGAAACTGTTCGCGGGTGGCGGAAGATTTCTCGAAGATTAGTTGACTGACTGTTTCTCGTTTCGACCTATCTACCTAACATGTTCGGGTGTACATATAAAGAATCAGAGACTTGGAGAGAGACTGGTAACGCGGTGGAACAGAGGAGCGTAAATTAGGTAGGTACATGTGGTCGGGGGTTGGAGGCAGAAATTCGTGAACAAGATCAAAGGAAGACCGGGCCCTTTCTTTTTCCGTGCGCGCCGCGGATGGACGTGCTCTGGTTCAGGAGAATGAATTTTCAAGAACGTTGCAATCGTACAAGCTGGTTTTGTTCTCGTAGCGTGAGGTATTTTTGTTTCACGGTCGCTGCCACTTTGGAGGGAAAAAGGTCGGCCCGGTGATGTATTATGCCGGTATTGTTGTCAGAAGTGCGCAATACACAGAATCGGTAGGCAAAGCGAGAGCCCAGTGTAGTAAATCCGCGATCGATACCTTTTAATCTCTACACTCGAAGGTGCGATACGTTTCGAGTGTTCGTTACATCTCGGTATTGTACAGATGTTCGTTCCGCGTCGCCTACGGGTTACGACAGCTGGCATAACCAATTCATTTAATTAATTGATGAAATTCAAAAACTTGCCGGTTTCGCTTAGAAGACAACGAGACTTCTGTGCCGAATCGAACTTCTGCATTTACATTTATCCAGGAATCGACATCTATCTCTTCGTAATTGCGTTTGATTTCGATGAGACGCGTTATCGATGGATTTTGGGTTTATGATACTTTGATAAATGGATACAACAGATAAAATCCAATGCGATGAGT